TCAAGTGTCTGTTGAATTCCAACACAAGCACACCTCATTCTACTTAATGAGGTACTGAATAGAATAGAATAGAATAGAATAGAATAGAAATAGCCTTTATTGTCTCGCCGATGGGAAATTCAGGGGTCACAACAGCATCAGTACAGAGTTTCACACACTATTTACTTTACAAACTATACTTAGTGCACACAAAACAAAAATTATCACTGACTAGCCATGACACAACTACTACTAATAAAAATATAATATGAAGAATTGTGCAAGAATAGAAAACAATATGTTTTGTTTTAGAGACAGTAGACTATCAGAATCCGACGTTAGGAATCAGAAAGTGCCTGTTTTCAGTGCAGAACAATCTCAACAGACCAACAACTGTAAAGTGAAGTAACACAATGCAGACAGGAAACACAGATGTGCAATTACAGCAGAGTAGTAGTGCAAATGATTGTTCAGTTGAGTAATTACAATGAATAGTAACAGTACAAATGATTGTGCAGCAGCAGGTGTGTAAARGGTGCTGGTTATAAAGTCTGACAGCTGCTGGATTAGGTGAGCACCTCGACCAAATTTCATTCACRGAGGACAAATATTAAAGAAAAACACCACTGTGGTCATCATAAACCTTTTGCAATAGGACCAGCTGGATAGCTAAAATGATGCTAACTATTGGACACGCCGAAAAGAGCTGAAAAAGAAAAAGGAAACAGTGAGCATCARAGAAACCCATCATTTAGCAGTGGGTTGCCTTAATTTGTTCCGGAGCTGTAAATGAATACTCAACCAATCCATCCATGTTTCTCACAGCTGAATGAAAACTGCCCACTATTTCCTTCTGGTTTGCTGATTGCTTATAGAAGACTGGTTTGAAATAGGTTTGACACGTGGTTTTAAATGAAAAATTCTATAGGTTCACATCTATTTCCTGTGCTGTAGCTGTGAATAACTCATTAAGTCACCTTTATAGTCTGCCACCAATGACATGATTTTGATTAACTCTTGTGGTAACACACAAAAAAACATTGCTTATATTGCTTTTCTTTCCCTTTTCTCACTTTGGATTTCCTTCTTGTAATTAGTTGTCTTTTCTTCCCTTTTCCCTTTTCTTTGGTGTTGTTGGCTTTTCATAGAACTCACCACGTAATTGTAGGTGCAATGCACTGTCTGCCAGCCTTGAAGTTATAATGAGGTCTGTGTGTTTCTCTGAAGACAACAGAAAAATCACAGACTATTTTATCCTATTTTCTGGATGGAAGGGTGGTGGTTTGGGGGGCTGAGGCAACGTTTGTTTGGATTGAAACTGACAGAGGGCYGCAGATTTGAAGCAGAAAGTAATAAGCCTCCTGAACGTCTCATAGCAGGAAGATTTTGGCTGTGACATTCATTTAGACAAAAAAATGGATATGAAATACAAGCCTTTTTTTTCTAAAACTATATCAGGAAAAAGGATATTGCCTATTGCGAAATCTGCTGATTTGCAGGTGAGCTTTATAAAGTCCTGTTTGTGATGCAGAGAAGTGTGGGTAGAGTGGCTTTGTGGACAGCAATAAATAAGTTTTATCTCAAGACAAAACAACATCAAAAAAAAGTTGTTGAGATCATTTCTTACGTTAGGGTTTGCTGGTGTCAAAAGACATGTACTGCTCTCCTTTTATGACTTTTTGTGACAGCCTGTATGCCTCAGTCACCAAACAATGTTATCATACCTGTCCAGTGCTAATGCTACAAAGTTTCCCTATGATGTAGTATGGCTGTGTTTATTTTAAGGCCCATCACATTTAATAGTTGAAAGCCAGCTGCCAGTCGTCTGACAGCGTGCGAGTCTTCAGACATGCTTCATTTCATGACACACTGTAAATACCAGTTAATGGTCCTCCACAGCATCGTTGCGTGGATTGAAAAATTTCTTCTGTGCATAGTCAGTCTCATTTTACCTGACCTTCAGGTTTTGTCACAAACATGATGAATGGCCTATAGGCTAGATGTCTAACAGTCAGAAATATATTCTATAGATTTATCTGGGTATGATAAAGATGTTATGAACTCGTGTTATTATCTTTCTTCACAGGGAGACGTCGGCCTCCCTGGAGACTCGGGGCTGCCTGTAAGTTCACGCTGTTTCATTTGCATCTCATTATGCTCTCGGRATACTGTTTGCAAGGTCGTTCAAATGCTGAGTCGTACATGAGGGTTGCGACCTGAAAAGACAAGGCTGAACTTTGTAAATATTACAGCCTTTTGGCAAAACAGACAACTGCACGCAGATTTATTACATCTGGCCAACAAGTGGTGCTCAGGTGAGCGGTCTCTGTGTCGCATTACCATTGCCTGAGAAGGTATGGGGTGGGGGTGGTGGGTGGGGGGGTGTCAAACAAGGAGCTGATAGAAAGGGCTCAGAAAGCTCAGCCAACAGGGATAGGGATGAGCAACCAGGRGGAGAAAAGTTCAGTTTCAGGCCTCGGGATGAAAGGTGGAGAGTGACAGGTGGGCACTGGCCGTAGCTTACATGGGTAAGACATGCTGTTACTGGGCCAGTGTCTGTCTCTGCAGATGTCTCGTGAGGCAACATTTCAGTCTTCTAATAAGATGAGCTATTTTTAAACTTTTTCTCTGCTTATGTAAAATCATACAGCTAAAATACAATAAATGACAACTTTTTGAAAGAACAATTAAAGTGGACACATCATGCTAAATCCACCTTTTTAGCCATTTATTACATTTTGTTGTGTACTTGGAGTCTTTAGGAGTGCAGAAAATCTGGGTTAAGTTTGGGCCGTACTTTTCTATCTATTCAGTTTTCTCTATTGTCTTATGTTTTCTGGATTATTACATCACAGTGTTGGCTGTGGAACTTCTTAACAAGGGCATAAACGTCTGGCTTACCAGTTTTTCAAATTTGCGGTTCTTCAGGTTTGTCGTCTTCGTTCTCCTCTCACTCAGGGTCCGACTCTGGCTGGATGGKCAAGTCTTTCGTTGTTGACATCTTTTAATCCATTTGTAAATAAAAAAAAAGTTTCGACGCCACTGGTTACTCTGGTGTAACTCTGCTYTCAAACTACAAAAAAGACTGAACAGGGAGGAATGGACAATGATCTTTGGTWAATATGCTGCATTTAAACCAAACATGTTGCGCGCCTCCAAAAGTCTCAAAACGCACACCTCCCGACGCTGGTGTCCAGTGAGGACAGACATGTTTGATTTGAACGTAGACGCGCGTCAAGATGCGCAAGAGGAGGAGCCCTTTTGTTCAGATTGGGGGTGAGAAATTGACCGTGTTACAAGTTTTGATAACTTACCAGACATGCCGACTTCCTCACCAATCGCTCTCCAGGCAAAGTCCTTTTTATTTCTATCACGATAATGGACACTGGAATGATCATAACTGATATGACTATCAGTTTGTCCTCCATTGTTTGTGTGATCCGATTTCCCGGGCTTCCAGTATTTCCGGCCCGTCACCAATGCGTCACTGAGCAGAGTCTCTCTGATTGGTTGATGCGACGCGTCGAGCAGCAAAAGTCGGCCCTAGATGTGCGCCCACCATTGACTTCGCATGTAAGCCAGACGCTCCTGATGCTCAAAACGTGTTTGGTGTAAATGCAGCATTAGACCTGCAGGGGGCGGGATGTGAAAGAGGGGCCCGTGGAGCTACAGTAACCAGGAATTCAGACCAAAGCATTGTAGTTCCATTTTACATAGCTCTCAACTAAATGATTTAAATGAGAAAAGGAAGAATTTAAAAGCATGATGTGTCCCTTTTAAAAACATATACAGTATGTGAATATATCACACAWTTTTTTATCAGTTTCTTTAAAGGCATTTCCTACTAACTTTATTTTGGTTTTATCAAAATGTAGCATATTTAACTGATGAAGTGTTGAGTCCAAAAGTTATCAACTAAAAGTTTCATTAAAGTTTATCTAGTAGTTTTTTATTTCTTACTTCTGTTTTTATTTCAGTTAATCCAACACGTGTCATGGTAGTTTTTGTGTGCAATCCAGCAATGAACAACACTTTATGATGCATACAATGATACTCCAGGATGTGTCAACCTACTGGTCACCTACCAACACAAATAATGAGAGCATGGACACATGCAAAATGCACATAGACTTGATGCATTGTGGTCAAGCGGTTGAAGGCTGCAGTAGATAAGGTGTACTGTGGGTGGCTGGCTAATTATGTGCACATCATGAGGGGATCAGCTTGCCAGTTTAAATCAGCACTGCAGGAACATAAAACAAAATACAGTCCCGCTGCTGCRGGCATGCCCCTTTTATGTTGCCAAAGTGCTTACGATTCCCACAGACCTCTGCCACCATTCATTAGCTACTCTCTAATGCTAATTTTATGTAACAGTGAAAGTAACAAGCATTCCATGACAAACAAACATGGTTTTAGCAAACTTCTTCGCTTCATGCCAGTAAATTAACTGGTGAGTCTGAGCAGAAAACGCTGGTGGCGCGTTATTAAAATCCCAACTTGCTGTTAGTACATTTGCATTGAATGGCTTGTTACTCTTGGTCAAACTGTGRGCACAATCCGACTAAAGATGATTTATAAACAAAACAGCTGCAGAGACGCCGAGGCGTGTTTTGTTGAAGACTTCACAGTTCAGAGCTGCCTGGATCTGCAAAACTGTTTAGGTTTTTATCTACCTTTTCTTTTTTTTRACCCCGTCTTACTTTTGCACAAGATGCCTTATGAGAAATGTTCATTTTATCACCTTTAATTTATTTATTTGTTTATTTATTTCAGAGAAATTAGCCAGTTTAGACTGTTGGATGCCAATTGCAAAAAGGTCACCAATTATTTAGCAGGAATCTGAGCGCGTGGCCTTGTGTTTACTTTGTCGCCTGCAGGGGAAATGACTCTGTCTGCCCTCTGACGGCAGTAGCCAGCAGGGTGTCTGGAGAGTTGTGATAGTCACAGAGTTACTTCCTCAGATCACCTTGGTCAGGGACATCCACCTCATTACCAACTTTATTACTTGCAAATAACTGCTTTACACATTTATACATGTTTTAATCATACTGAATTATTTTAATTAATAAAGTTTCTTCTTACTTTTTTTAGGCTGGCAGTGACTGTTTCAAAGGAGATCAGGTACTTTAAGTTTCTTGTACAAGATATACAAGCATATCTCCACTTCAGATGTTTACATGTATCTTGACCCTCAACAATTTATAATTTTCACAAAAAATATAGCTTACATTTGATTT